TCTGGCAAACTCCCCATGGGATACCCAATATGCCAAATACCAGTAACAATGATGGATCTCATTCTCCTAACACTGGAAGAGCCTTGAATATGGCACTTTTTAAAGTCTCTGGGCTAGGGCGAAGGAGGCGTTACTGATGCCTGCTCGAGACAATCGACGAACAACAGGATGATTGTGATCGTGATCTTATTTCATACTATTATGATAAATCATTGCCAGTAGTATATGACTTTTATATGAAAATATGGTGGTAAGCAAATATTTCTAATTATTTTGTGTTCATGATTTTGATTTTTGAAGATAGAATAACAAATGTTGTTTAAATGAACTACAATAACTAAAACTAACCTAAGTCTTGAGAACCAATGCCTCTCCCGTTTTGGTGTATTCCAAATTTAAAAAATAAATTAAAAACTTAAATAATTTCATTAACACTGTGTAGTTTTCTGTGACATGTAGCCACCAGCTAGGGGAAAGCAAAAACAGAACACAAGGAGACAGTGCCTTACTTCTGCTCTTCTCAAAGCAGATGCACAGTGTTGACAGGACTCAATTGCTTGGTAGCACTGTAGCACTGTCCTCCCATTGTTCATCAATTTTCTCAAGCAGGCACCAGTAACATCTCCATTGTGAGACTTGTTGTTACTGTTTTTAGCATATCAAATACACCACGGTAGTTTGCCAGGCTCTGCCATGCGGGGGGGATACTCTAGGAAGCTTACCGGCTCTCCGAGAGGAAAGGAATCCCAGGTCGGCCTTGTGCAAGGCAAACGCCCTATCCGCTATGCTATCACTCCAGCCTGTTACCATCCAAAATCAGGCAGCCCTGTTCCCACCCTCATTAATATTTCTGAGAATCTACAACCCTGATTCTTTCTTAAAAACTGCCACATGATAGAAGCTCCTCCCATTATAAATGAGGTGGCAGAAAACCTGGAATTCCTTAGGTGTGGCTCCTGTATCAGGGTCTATGTTCACCTACCCAGATCCCAAGTCATTTATTCTCCTTAATTTATCTTCTTTTGTGTTAGTAAAGCTATTGCAATAGATAGTCAAAGGAGATTATAATAATGTAATTATTGCATTATTGTAAGCCACAACAAATATGAAGAAGGTTCAGGTTTCTAAGCTTTTTGTCAAAAGGCAAAAAAGCCCTGATAAATGGAAATATGTTTGTACTTTACCTCCTCTTGTCTGTCCACCAAGACTGCAAGAACCAAGAAATATTTGATGGTTTATTTATTATCTCTAGGAAAATGAGTCACCCGTTCACTGTGGGAGGTAGGACAGAAGAGTGTCCTCCCACATTTGCCACATTTGAGTCTTCTGCTTTGTAGAAAAGTGGTTGTCTTTTCCTAGAAGCAAGGGACTTGTGCCTTTGAACATTTTTCTTGGGAGCCTTCAAATAACTCCAATTTGCTGCTTGCTATGTGGATGGATCTTATTGTTTGTGAAGTGAGTAGAAGAAAGATGTATATTAAATAAAACTGTCTCATCTGGTCAGGTCCGGTCCTCCCGTTGTTCATCGATTTGCTCAAGCGGGCCCAGTAACGTCTCCATCATGAGACTTGTTGTTACTGTGTTTGGCATATCGAATACGTCACGGGTAGCTTGCCAGGCTCTCATATAAATAAATATTGTAAGGGAATAACAAATACCAGAGTCCAACAAAAACTGAAAACTGGTCTTTAGTAGGAAACCTATGATGGTGAAGGATAAGGAAGGAAAAAGATGGAAGGGTTGGGACATGAGGACGTTGGAGGATGTGGAACCATGGTGGAAGGTGCAGTGCTAGAATGTTTCATGCATGAAAACACACAGTAAAATTATTATCAATTGAGAAACCTAAAAGAAAAAAATTTTTAATCTTAATTAAAAACTTTCTCTTTATGTTTACATTTTTTAACATTTGAAATTGTATAATCTAGGCTATACAAAAAGTCCTAAATATTATGTTCTTCCTGGAGTCTGTATAAGAGTTACTGGTATCTTTTTCTCCCTTTCCTTTGAATGGGTGCCATTTAAGCATAGATATAGAAGTGGATGTGTAGGGTTGGTATCACTGTATCACTGTCATCCTTTTGCTCATCGAGTTACTCGAGTGGGCACCAGTAACGTCTCCATTCATCCCAGCCCTGAGATTTTAACAGCCTCTCTTACTCATCTTTCCCAACAACTGGAGGCTCTTTCAGGGTCAGGGGAATGAGACCTGTTATTGTTACTGTTTTTGGCATATTGAATACGCCATGGTAGCTTGCCAGGCTCTGCCATGCAGACAGGATACTCTCAGTAGCTAACCGGGCTCTCCAAGAGGCATACATATATATAAATATATATGATATATATAATTTATATATAAATAATATATATTATGTTATATATTTGTATATATTATATAATATATAGTTATATATAAATATGTATTTATATATAAATAGGGGCTGGAGTGATAGCACAGCGGTAGGGCGTTTGCCTTGTGCGCAGCCAGCCCGGCTGAGCTGGGTTCGATTCCTCCGCCCCTCTCGGAGAGAGGGGCATATTCCACGGCATATTCGATATGCCAAAAGCAGTAACAATGATGTGTCTCATTCCCCTGATGTGTCTCATTCTCATTACTCTTGGCAAGCTACCAAGAGTATTCAATATGCCAAACACAGTAACAAGAAGTCTCACAATGAAGACGTTACTGGGCCCGCTCGAGCAAATCAATGAACAATGGGAGGACAGTGTTGTTTTTTGTTTTATATATAAATAATATATATATTTCTCTTTATGATGATGATGTTCTGCCCACACACCAGGCTGTCTTCACTGGGGCCCCTCGGAGAGAGGTGGGTTGAGTTTCCCTCTGCACCCCGAGCAGAACCCCAGCAGCCAAAGACGGCCAGTACACAGCAACATCCATGCTCAAGGCCACTCTCCATATGCTCAGATGAGCCTCATGCATGAAGGAACTGGCAGAGAAACTGAGGTGCGCAGCCACCGGAGCTGCGATCTCTAAGCCTGCTCAGATTGAAACTGGGCCTCCTCCACCCAGATCCCCCATTTTCCACTAACTAGGCAGTTACACCCCTGGCATCATGAAATCCCATCAACGGCCAAGATCCAGAGACTATGAAACCAAGCTCCCGGAAGCGACCTCTTATAGTCTAGTTCTTCTCAGAGGACCCAGCAAGCTACCAAGAGTATCCTGCCCACACAGCAGAGCCTGGCAAGCTTCCACGGCATATTCGATATGCCAAAAGCAGTAACAATGATGTGTCTCATTCCCCTGACCCTGAAAGAGCCTCCAATGCAGCACCGTGGTGAGGGATGAGTAAGGAAAGGCTGCTTTACTCTCAGGGCTAGGACGAATGCAGACATTACTGGTGCCTGCTTGAGCAAATCGATGTATAACGGGATGACAGTGATACAGCTATGATGATGATGTATGGTTGGTAAGGAAAAGAATCTGACTCAGCATTAATTATATGCATGGAAATGGGTTCCCATTTCCACTTAACCCCTGGGTGCTTTCATTTTCTTTTTTCTTGATAAAAGTTAGTTTTGAATAGTTTCAAATACTTAGAAACAAAGTTCAAGGGATAACTTCATAAGTCTACATAGGTATCTCACTTAACACATTCACTGCAGGATTTCAGTGTCGTATCATCTCAGACACACACACACACACACACACACACACACACACACACACACACACTTCTCTTCATCACTCCCATCAGCCTCTCAGTCACCAGTTTTATTCTGTTTATTCAATTTTTTTCTAAACAAGACCAAGAGAGGTTTTATCTGAATAGTCTGGATAGTACTAAATCAGCAACTCTTCTTCAGCTTGTCTTGCCAGTTATTCCCAATTTGGACTCCAGATGAGCATCTGTGCTTAAATCCCAAGGAAGTCAATAAAAAAGCACCTTCCAATAACCAATCCCTGTGGAACTGATTTTGGTCCCCTGAGCACAGCCAGGAGTTATTTCTGGGTACATAGCCAGGAGTATTCCCTGAGCATCACAGAATTTGGCACAAATACAAAACAGAAAAAAAACCAAAAAAATCAATATTATGCCCCTTATTCATAGAATCCTCTATACAAATGCATGTTTAAAAACTCCAAATATTACATCTCTTCTAGAATTTCACATAAAACAGAATTCAATAAATAATGAAATCTCTCATTCAGCCACAGTCTCCTCTGTCTGTTGCTGAGCTGCCATTTTCCATGCAAAACCTTTAAAATTTCATTCCTTCAGTGACTTTTAATTATCATCCTAACTAGTATGCTTTATTATTTCCAGGTATCCACGAAAGTCTCATTCTGACAACCGAAACAGGACAGAAATAATAATTTTGCATGCTTAATGTATACATTCAAACCAAAACAAAATGGTTTTCCAAATTATGATAAGTAATAATAATACCTCTTATTATGCAAGCTTATTCTTGTGATTGTTTCCTTTGATGGCTTTATTTTAGATATGCTACAACGTTCCCTTGCTTTTAAGCTTCCCCTTCATTCATTCCTTATCTTCTTGTTGGAAAATGTTTTATAATGACCCAGCTGAGCCTAAAAAGTGTTAGGCACTTGGAACACACTAATGAACCTGAAAACAGAGTGAGCTGTTTTCAGAGAGCTGACACATGGACCCTAACAGAGCAGGCACTACAAGGTCAGATTCCAGCTGGACAAGCTAGACTCAGAGTCCTGTTGCTGTCCCTCACAGGTTGCCCTTACTCTTCTCTCTGGACACTTGGAATGTGGTATGGTCTAGGAAGTTAAGGATCTTAGAATATTCCGTTTGCGAAAAGTTGTGATTTAGTAGAGAAAACAAAGTGTTAATCAGAAAGAGCAGATCAAATCCAGCTATAGGATGTCAGAGTTGTGTGGCTTGCTTACACTAACTTAGTATCTTCTGCTAGTCTCAGGAGTAGCTGTGGGAATCTGCTGATATTGAAGTCTCCTTTCTCATTTGTGTTCCCAGGAACACCAACAGAATTTGAGGATGGAAAGCACACCGCAGAATGAAAGTGACCAGATGGAGTTTGATAGAACAATTCGCCTGAACTTCTTGATCACAATCTTTCTGCAATTCATCATTTCCCTGGTGGGGCTGGCAGGAAATGCTGTGGTGCTCTGGCTCCTGGGCTTCTGCATGAAGAGGAATTCTTTTTCTGTCTACATCCTCAACTTGGCAGGAGCCGATTTTGTCTATCTATTCATCCAGATATTAAATTCCGTAAATTTCAAGATAGACTTAATCTTCGATCCCAAATTTTTCTACGTGTCTGCCTTTCCCTATGTTGCAAGCCTGAGCATTCTCACTGCCATTAGCAGTGAGCGCTGCCTGTCTGTGCTACAGCCCATGTGGTATCGTTTCCACCGCCCAAAACACATGTCATCTGTTGTCTGTGCCCTGATCTGGGCCCTGTCCTTGCTCCTGTGCATCCTAAGATTGGAGTTCAGTGGCGTTCTCTTTGGGGGATCTAATAAGTATTTGTGTAAGCTAGTTGATTTCAGCATTGCCACATGGCTGATTTTCTCCTTTGTTCTTCTGTTTGGATCCAACCTGGTGCTGCTGGCCAGAATTCTGTGTGGCTCCCGGAAGTTGAAGCTGACCGGGCTGTATGTGATCATTGGGCTTACTGTGCTGGTCTTCCTCATCTGTGGTTTGCCTCCAGTCATCTACTGGTTCCTCCTATACTGGATTCCAAACATGTATAAAATTAACGGCTCTACACCTTATATTGTGACAGTGATATTATTAGCATCCTGTGTCAATAGCTGTGCCAATCCCACAATTTACTTCTTTGTTGGCATTTATAGGCAGCAGCAAAGACAGCAAAGAAGGAGCCTCAAGTTAATTCTCCAGAGAGCTTTGCAGGATGATTCTGAGGAGGACAGAAGTCAAGGCAGCCCTCCTCAGGAGACCCTAGAGATGTTAGGAAATGGCCATGGGTCCTAACACAATCACAACGTAATCATAATTTTCAGATATTTTGTCATTGCATTTCAGATGTCTGGCATCTCTTACTTTTTAGCGTTGAATATTACTCTATATCTAAGGAAACCACCACTTATTTTCATGGTTTGTGTATGTGTGCATGTAGGTAAAAGTCTGTTCTTGCCTCGTGTTTACACTGGATAAATTTGCTGTTAAAATTCATCTTTGGGTTTTGAGGACCTGTTTGTACTCCTCATAGATAAAAAATCAGAAGAGAAATCTGTATAATAGAAAGGAAGTTGCCTATGGAACTCCAGGAGTATTTCCAATGCCTTTTCTGGAGCAGTAGTTCTACTTCTGTTTGTTACATCGACTATATGGGGTCTTTGGTCTGGAGTTACTATTTCAACCAAGTTGCTCCCTTGCACCAAATACTGTTTCTTATCATTTAAGTACTCAAGACAAAAGAAACAAAAATAAACAAATGGGACTTCATCAAACTCAAAAATTTCTGCATAACTAAGGAAACATTGGTTTCTTTATAAGAATCCAACTGAACAGGAAAAAATTTTTCACTCAACATATCAAATAAAGGATTCATATTCAAGATATATAGAATATTTAGAAGGACTAACAGCAGAAAAATAATACCGAAGCCCTATTCAAAAATTAGAGAGAAAATGAACAGGCATTTTTCTGAGAAGACAGGTGGGCAATAGAACGTAAAAATGCTTATCATCACTTATAATCAGGGAAATACAAATAAAGACAATAATGAGATATCATCTGAGACTACCACACATCAAAAACAAAAACCTAGGAATAATCTAGGTTTAGGGGGATGCAGTGAAAATGAATTGTCCTCCAAGTCTGGTCCAGCTAGTTCAACCCCTATTAAAAAATAGTATTGAGATCTTTACAGCACACAGCCACAGAGAAGATGGGCAAGGTGCCGCATCCAGCCTCCCCCAGATGGAACCCTGGTGACCATGAGCCTCTACAAGCATAGCTCAAGTATGCGGGAACCAGGACTTGGACTTTTCCTCCAAACTGCAGGAACCGCCCTGGCCCCCAGGTAACCTCTGACTCCGGAAGTCATGCCCACAACCTGCCCCCCAGCGCCATCTTTAGAGCTTACAGCCACAGAGAAGAAAGGCCACGGGGGGCTCCACAGCTCCCAGAGAATGCACCAGGTCCCGAAGAGAGCCGAGATCACCAGGAAGTCCCAGATGGGGTAGGTGCCACATCCCGCCTCCCCCAGATGGAACCCTGGTGACCATGAGCCTCTACAAGCATAGCTCGAGTATGCGGGAATCAGGACTTTTACTCCAAACCATGCGGCTGCTTAAGCCATCTCCCTATATGCAAGGTGATTAATGGAAAGTAAATCATCCAACATTTCTCCCTGAAAACCAGGCTTAACTCTTATACAGACCACAACACCCAATGGGAGAGAGAGAACAAAAGGGAATGCCCTGCCACAGAGGCAGGGTGGGATGGGGAAGGTGGGGGCTGGGAGGGATACTGGGATCCGAGGTGGTCAGAAATGGTCACTGGTGGAGGGATGGGTATTCAAAATAAATAAATTAATTAATAAAAAACTGATAGGCATACATTTCTACTCATCTGCCTAATGACTGCCTAATAAATAAATAAAAATAAAAATTAAAAATAGCATTGATATTTCTCAGAGAAGTAAATATAGACTTATCACGGTGCAGCGGCAATAGTACAGTGGGTACAGTGCTTGCCTGGCTTGCAGCCAGTTTGTGTTTGATCTCCAGCACCCTGTATGGTCCTCCAAACCTTCTAGGAGTTATCCCTGAGGACAGAGCTAGGAGTAAGCCTTGAGAACCATTGAATTAACCTGAAAAACAAAAATATAGAGAGACAGTGTTCAAAGGAGCCAACACCTCACTTCTTGGTGGACTTCTACCCCCAAGACAAAAACATTCATTGAAGAGGACATATGCTCACCACTATTCATAGCAACACTCGGGACAATACTTAGGATATGCAATCACTGCAGCAGCAAGGAGGGAAGAAATCATGCATTTTTCTTCAACTTGGCTAGAACTGGAGGATATTATGGTATAAGGTAAAGGTAAAGGTAAAGGCCCTCCCGTTGTTCATCAATTTGCTCGAGCGGGCCTAGTAACGTCTCCATTGGAGACTTTGTTGTTACTGTATTTGGCATATCGAATACGTCACGGGGAGCTTGTCAGGCTCTGCCGTGCGGGCGAGATACTCTCGGTAGCTTGCTGGGCTCTCCGAGAGGGGCGGAGGAATCGAACTCAGGTCGACCATGTTGGCTGCATGCAAGGCAAACGCCCTACCGCTGTGCTATACTACTAGATGATATCACTTATCTATGGTCTGGAGAAGAACAGGAGGAGTTTTGTCAGACAAAGCATTCTTTGTCTCACAAAGGGATACCCAGACTGAATTTGTCCACTGAACATAAAAATGTTCATAGAGAAGGACAGGAAAGAAAAGAAATGGAGAGGAAATGTCTAGAAGAAGGGGAGGAAACAGGAGTAAGATTCATGGGCTTTGAGCATATTGGTAGTGTAGAGATGGGATATATGTATATATCTATATTACAGAGCCAACAATACTGTACTGTATGTAAAATACAAACAGCAAAATTTAGGAATGTGCCTGTCAAGAAAGAAAGTTGGGAGTTGGGTTGGGAGAAAACCTAGGAACATGGGTAGGGGAAATTCAACACTGATGGTGGGATTGCCATTAAAACATTGCATGCATGGTGTGGCGATTCTTGTATCAGACCACATTGATTTCAAACTAAAGAAGGTTACAAGAGACAGTGAAAGTCACTTCTTATTGATCAAGGAATCTGTACAACAGGAAGAACTTGCACTCCTAAATGTATATGCACCTAATGAGGGATCAGCAAAATACTTAAAACAACTACTCATAGACTTGAAGAAAGACATTGATACCAACACAATACTAGTGGAAGATTTTAACACTGCTTTATCACTTCTCAATAGATCAACCAGACTCAAACTCAGCAAGGGTATACTTTATCTGAGGGAAGAAATGGAAGAAAGGAGTTTAAAGATATATACAGAACACTTCATCCTCAAAAAGTTGAATACACATTCTTCTCAAGTGTGCATGGGACATTCTCCAAGATAGACCACATTCTGGGCCACAAAACATACCTCCATAGAATTAAACAGCTATTAAAAAAGATGAAGTCATGAAATTTGCATATAAGTGGATCAACATGAAAAGTATCATGTTAAGTGAAATAAGTCAGAAAGAGAGCGGCAGACATAGAAAGATTACACTCATTTGTGGAATATAAAGTAACAGAATGAGAGACTAACACCCAACGATAGTAGCGATAAGTACCAGGATGATTGCTCCAGGGCTTGGAAGCTAGCCTCACATGCTGGGGTAAAAGGCAGCTCAGATAGAGAAGGGACCACCAAGTAAAGGATGCTTGGAGGGCTCACTCAGGATGGGAGATGTGTGCTGAAAGTAGACTATAGACTGAACATGATGGCTACGTGTATCCCAAACCATAACACCCAAAAGGAGAAAGAGAGAGAGTAGAAGGGAATGCACCTGCCACAGAGGCCAAGGGGGTAAGGGGGAAGGGGTGGAAAGGGTGGTGGGAGGAGGGGTACTGGGATCACTGGTGGTGGAGAATGGGCACTGGTGGAGGGATAGGTATTCAATCATTGTATGACTGAAACATAAGCACGAAAGTTTGTAAGTCTGTAACTACATCTCACGGTGATTCACTAATAAAATTTTTAAAAATAAAATTAAATAAATAAAAAGTTAGAAAAAAATACCTCCATAGAATTAAGAAGATAGAAATTGTATCAACGATCTTCTCAGACTATGATGTGCTGAAAATAGAAGTGAATCACACACACAAACAGAAAATCAAATCAAATACCTGGACAGCTCACTACTGAACAATGAGTAGTTTAGAAAGGATATCAAAAGATTCCTAGAAACAAATGAAAATGAAGACACAAGTTACCAGAACTACTGGGACATGGCAAAAGCTGTGTTAAGAGGAAAGTTTATAGCTCTATGAACATTCCTTAAAAAGGAAGAGCGAGCCCACATAAGTAACCTAACCTCAGGGCTTAAGAGCTTGGAGAAATGTCCAAGGAAAGGAGCCCAATTCAGGCAGAAGGAAGGAAATAATAAAACTTAGAGCATAAATTAATGATATGGAAGCGAAAAAAATAGTCTAAAGATAATGAAACCAAGAGCTGGTTCTTTGAGAAAAAAAACAAGATTGATAAGATACTAGTAAGACTCACAAAGAAAGTGAGAGAGAAAACCCAATAAACCAAATCATAAATGAAAGGGAGGGGACATAACAATAGAAACTACAGAAATTTAAGAATTCTAAAAGATTACTTTGAGAATTTTTATGCCATGAAACAAGAAAACCTCAAGGAAATGAATAAATCCTGGATTCCTATAGCCTCCCGAGGCTGAATGAAGAAGACCTAAACAGACCTATCACCATCAAGGAAATTGAAACAGTAATAAAAAGTGTTCGCAAAATCAAAAGTCCTGGCCCAGATGGATTCACTAGTGAATTCTTCAAAACCATTACAGAGGACTTACTCCCAATTCTTTTAAGCTTTTCCAGGAAATTGAAGAATCAGTAACACTTCCAAACAGTTTCTGTGACGCAAATATCACTGTGATATCAAAAGCAGACAGAGATGCCAAAAAGAAAGAGAACTACAGGCCAATATCCCTGATGAACACAGATGCAAAGATCCTCAACAAATCCTAATGAACAGAATCCAATAACTCATCAAAAAGATCATATATTATGACCAAATAAGATTCATCCCAGGGATGCAAGGATGGTTTAACATCCACAAGTCAATCAACATAATCCATCATATTAATAAAAGAAAATATAAAACCATATGATCATATAAATAGATGCAGATAAAGCATCTGACAAGATCTAGCACCCATTTATGATGAAAACTTTCAGCAAAATGGGC